CGTGGGTACAATGCTGTAATCTTTGTAGTCCATCTGTTGTCTGTTCTTCTTTCCAGATGTCCTGCCCATTGTCACTTGAGGGATTTGACTCTGTGGATGACATCTATTACCTGGTTCTTTTGTCGTATCCACTCTATACTTTTACTGTTACTCTGTCTTTATTTGTTATTCCCAGCATATTTCGTTCCATTGAGCGTTGTGCGATCTGCAGTTTCCTTATGATGTCCGTTTGAATTGTCCAGGTTACGCATGCATAGGTCATGACTGGTAGTAAACATTGATCGAATGTTTTCTTCTTTAGATAGAGTGGCATTCTAGATTTGAATATGATTGAGTTTCTTCCATAAGTGCTCCATGCTAACTTATATCATACTTCTATTGATTTCTGGTAGTAGAGATCCCGAGCTCTGTATTAGTTGTCCCTATATGTTCTTCTACTATTTCCACTGTTGTGTTATTCACTAGAGTGTCCCTTCTCTCCACGAGTTCGTTGTACATTACTTTAGTTTTTGCCAAATTCATTTTGAGATCCACTTTATTGCTGGCTGTATTTAGTTCATTAATTTGTGCTTGTAGTTCTTCAGGACTATTGGCAATTAAGACTATGTCATCAGCGAATCTTAGATGGTTAAGATATTATCCATCTATTTTTAATCCTTTGTTGGTCCAGTGGTGGCCGGCCGTAACTTCAGCGCTAGTGTGTCGATCTGCGGAGCGGAAGGTACTGGGTTCGATCCCCAGCCAGTACGGTCGCTTTATTTATTTAAATAAAAATATTTATTTATCTAAATAGAGCGACCAAGGGGCCGCCACCTCAAGGAAGGCAATGGCATACCACCTTGAGTATATTTGCCGTGTACAGCCTCTCAAATAGTGCCGTTCGGATTCGGCGATAAACTGTAGATCCCGTGTACTTGTGAAACACTGATGACACACATCACAAGTACATGCGAGAGGTAACCGACGCTCTATATAGAGTATGGCACTGTAAGAAGAAGTTGGTCCAGTCCAGTTGACAGAAGATTTCTTCAAATGTTGCTGTAGACAGCTTTGGGGATTTCGCGTCTCCCTGTCGTACTCTTTTGCTAGTTGGGAAATCTGGGGTAGATTAGGTAGGTTTTTCATTATAGTTTTTGATGTCTTCTGCAATCCTCTTTCTTATCATCTTACATAATTCTGTGTATTCTATTCTATGTATATTACTCTCGGTTTTCATTTTTCTTCTTTTCTTGAGAAGTGCTTTCGTCTCATCAGTCAGTTTATTATCTTTGTTACGCCACTGTGGGCACCCGATTTCTTTTGCACAGTTTACTACAGTGTCCACGAGCCGTTGTGTGTTTGTTCCTTCTTCAGGTAGCCTGCTGTCCAGCAGCTGTTCATATTCACTGGATCTTTTTTTAGTTTGTTGGTGTTTACTGTAGTTGTAATTTATTTCCTGAAGTAATGTCTATAAATCTTGAAGTAATGTCGATAATATCAAAAAGGCGAATACTTTTGATATTTCCCATGTCGAAAAAATGTTGGTTAGAGAGCTATTGAGATAAAGACTATTCCTATATTAGGACAATTCTACAAGGATATGGGCAACTGTCAGTAGACCCTGACATCTCTCACAAAGGGGGCCTCACCTTTAATAAATGTCAGCGTGAAAACTTGTGAACTATCATAGCGAATTATCATAAGCCAATTTAATATAAATTATTTTGTTTTTTTTTCTGGTTAAATGGTAAAAAATCTTTTTAGCCGTCTGGTCTGTTGTTCTAGCGACCGAGGTGTGCCGGATTCCTACCGACTAAAAAAATTCCACCCTATTTGGTTGACAAACTGCGCTGGAACTACTCACGCATTACTTCTGCGCAGATGCCTTCGTTGATCAAGCTCTTTCTGTCGCACAATTTGTGATATAAATGCCACGCCATATATCTTCGTCCCCCAGAATAGAGGGTATTAGGTTTTCTTCTTAAGGCTACCTTAAAAATCCTTTTGATCTTTAATCTACCTGGTTCTCAGGCCGAGTATTCAAAAACTGTGTGACTGACATCGTCGATGGCACTGCTGCAATATTTACAGGCCGCACTAGCTCTTTTCTTGAAAATATATAGTGTTCGAAAGCTCCGTAACCGCTAAATATCTGGGAAAGGTAATAGTCTACCTGTCCGTGCTTTCGTTCAGTCCATCTTCTTATATTCGGGATTCCACCGTACGTCTCATCCCATCTTCTTTGCCCCTGTGTCTTCTTTGCCAGCCTTATCTGTTCTTCCTCTAGTTTTCTGATCGTATATGTAAGCTCTTTCCTTTACTACCAGGTATATTGGTAGTATACCTGCGATTACGCATATCGCTTGCTCTGCTACAGTTCTGTAGGCAGAAACGACTCTCAAGGCGCTGCGTCGCTGAACTGAAGTTTCTGTTTTTCTTTTTAACCTCCAGTGCCTTTGCCCATATTGGAGCGGTGTACAAAATTTAAAAAAAAAGTGCGTCTTCACATATAATTTTTTAATCTTCAAGAAATTACTAAGGGAATCCAAAAGGTGCCAATCAAGTATTAAGAAATATACATGATGTTCAGTAAATCGACGATAAAACAAAGGTGACAAAAAACAAATAAACAAAAACAATCCCACGAGAAAACTGTTCACGGCTAAAACTCCATTTCAGCACCGCCGCCGCCGCCGCCACACCGATGTCGTTCCGAACGTTATTCCTTCGATCCTTCCTTCGAGAGCGTTCACCGGAGTTATTTTATTACAAATAAGGAGGAGAATAGTGGTCCTTTGGGTCCGGGCGAGGTGCGCACCAGTAAATGAGATATAGGACCGATCTGACGGTGTGTTTCGTTAAATTATCTATAGGCGTCGCTCGGAAAATCTTTTAGGCTTCGGTGCCGCGTTGGGTGTCGCTCGTTTATAGGTCTAACCGAGGTAATGAAGCTTGAATATGAGCCTTGTTCGATTTTTTTGGAATTTTGAAATGTTTACAATATACAGTTATTTGCAGTGGTAAACTTTTTAGTAGACCATCGAGGAAGAAAAATATAGAAAGAAACCACAACACACTAAAACATTCTTTTTAAGTACTGGACAGATTTGCTCATCGTATTAACATCGCCAGCAGATGACAGTCTTTGTGTCGTTTTTTTTTTCGCCGAATTGTTCAGTGTCCATATTTTGGATCTTGTAGTAAAGTTCGAGCTTTTCTGATATTAATTCCTGATTATTTAGAATAAAAAGCGGATTTGTAGTATAAAATGATACAGGATCCGGCAATAGTGCGTCGGGCATCTGTAGCTCCTAGAATAAAAAAAACTTTGAAATTTTGTTTAACCTAAAGTATGTACGGGGATGTATTTCAAGGAAATATTTTAACTTCTATAGGGTAGCTCAAAAAACTATGAGATGATTGGGTTGATTTTTTTATGGAACCCCCTGTATATTATTGCAATTTTAGCTTCCTTTCAGATCACTTTACATAATCCTAAAATATGAGTAAATATGTTTCGATAGTTTCAGAGATACTAATAAATAAATAAAAAATATATATTTTCAGCCTTTCTTAAAAAAATTATTAAAAATAGAAGAAGTGTCCTGAAATCAAAAATAGTTTTGACCTAATATAGATTAGGTATTTACTTTATGGTCTGTGCTATAAATATGGTAATCGTAAATCACACAGGATGTTCAAAATCCTACGCCAAACTTTCTAAAATATAAAATAATTTTTCTCCCTTTTTTAAAATGGGACACCCTGTATATTGTTTTTTCAATAGATAGAGAATTATTATTTTTTGTATTTAGAGTATTTCAAAATGTTTAACGGTTTCGCAGATATTCGCGGTTTTATATTTCATATGGCATTTTCCATAGTAAATTTTTATCAAAGCCACCCAATATTTTTTTTCTCGTATTTTACCATTGAAAAAGCCATATGCAATGATACCGCGTGTATCTGCGAAACCATTAAAAATTTTGAAATACTTCAAATACAAAAATCGTTAATTTTTTAACTCTCTACTAACATCTAACAAAAAAATAATATACAGGTTTCTTTTGTTCCATTTAAAAAAAAAACAAAGAAAAATTATTTTGTATTTTAGAAAGTATGGCGTAGAATTTTGAACACACTGTATGATTTACGATTACAATATTTTTAGCAAATTTAAGTATAGACCATCTAAAGTAAATACCTAATATAGTTTTGATTTCAGGACATTTCTTGTATTTTTAATAATTTTAAAAAAAGCTGAAGAATATATATTCTTTATTTATTTATTAATACCACTGAAATTATCGAAACATATTTACTCATATCTTAGGATTATGTAAAGTGATCAAGTAAAGTGATCAAGTAAAGTGATCAAGTTTTTTTTATTCTAGGAGATACAGATGCCCGACTCGCTATTGCCGAACCCTGTATAAAATAAAAGGCATATATTATGTGTTCTAAATCCATAAAATCCAAAAAAAATTAAAAATTTCAATTACAGCTATAAAATTTTCAAAGTTTGCCAAAAAGTGATGGTTGTGTAAAATATTCCAATCTTAAAGTTTTATTCACTAGTGTTTTTATAATTTTACTTCTATATTCTCTGGTTGTATTAGTGTTCGTTTAGTGTATTCGTATCAACAAATCCACTAGTAAATTTAAACGTAATATGGTTAAGAGTAGCACATTTGTCAAACTAAAAGTGGAAATTTTTAGGAGACATTTTCACAACCATAACTCTAAAAATGTGAGCAAAATGCTCTTGAGATACGGGATTCAAAAAGTTAAAATATTTGATAATTAATTCATAGATATTAAAGTTGCACTTTAAGAAACTATATACACTGGTATAGGAAGTTATCATTTATTCAACATCCGCCCATTTCGGATATTTCCGAACAACATTCCAGCCGAATATAAGGTCTCGAACTTTGATCAGAAGCAATAAAATGACTTTACGACGCTCGTATACACTGTCTCGTGCCAACTAACGACATTGTTCTTGTTTTCTGTTGCAGGAATCAGGCAAGAACAGGATATCTACGTCAGGCTTATCGATTCGGTAACGAAACAGGTGAGTTTAACTTTTATAGTTTATCGGTTTTATTTATGGGAAATTAGGGATAAACTTTTCTTTTTTTAATAAAATTAAGAAAAATATATATATGATATCAGTATGATTACTATTACCATAATACAGAGGATAGTGCCTCCATTAGCTCTGAGAAGAACAACAGTTTGTATTGAAATATTCGCAAAGTATTCTACAGAGTGCTCTCAAAAATGTATGCACCAGAGTTTTGTTTTTAATGGAACACCCTATTAACTTTCGGACTGTAGGGAAAAATAAGGTGAGTTTTATTAAACGAAAAAGAAAGAGCATACGATTAAAATATAACGTTTTTGACATATTTCAACATTTTCTAAAAATGAAGCGTAAACATTAATTACTTTACTCTGTTTAGCCTAATATTACTTAGTTAAAATAAGCAGTATTCGTCAAATTAAATTAAAATTTTACTCGAAAAGTTGTACAGGGTACAACATTAATATTGAACTTGGACACTTACGACACTAAGAGCAAGTTAATTTTTTCTTTTAAATGGAGCACCCAGTTTATTATTTCGATATTCAGCGGAGTATTCACTTCTGTTCACAATACTTTACTATTAAGGCTGTCTACCCCTCAGAAAAAACTTTAATTACCTCATTATTTTCTTAATTTGGGTATATCTTGATTATATTCTAAAATCTAAGTGGCTGTGACACTGTGTAACGTTATTACAACATAGCTATTAAATTAGTCCAGCTTAAAAAACTAGTTATTATTTTGTATCAGTTAATACGAAAAAAATCTCACACATTTGCCGAAAAGGAAAACTTGGCCTACAGCAGATGGAACTGATATGATTCTATTAATTCGTGAATGGCAAAAGCGATTCAGTAATTATCAATTTGAAGTTGGCAAAAGAATATCTAGAGAAGATGTAAATTAGCCAAAAAAAATAAGTAAGTAAAAAAAAAGTCGTCCTACTCTACGTGACAGCTTACCAAGGGATAGAAGGCATTGAAAAAGCAAACGATCTAGCTAAATAAAAAGCGAACGCTCCCACTAACGGGATCAGAACCATTCTGCTTCTCAAGTGGAAACCAACTTAAAGCGGATTTCATGAACCTGGAAAACTCCATCCGTAACCTTGAATGGGAATCCTCTAAAGGTGTAAGATACTCAATGAAATTTCTCAGAACTTTCGATCGTAGAAATGATATTCGTAAAACCGTATTAGATACTGATTTTTTCAAAGCACTAAGCCTCTACGATGAGTTATAACTCAAGAAAGAGGGAAGCAATAGATCTATAAGGTCACTGTGACCCACTGTCACTTCCCCCACCCCATACAATCTAGATCTATATCTGCATGTACTGTGCATTCACCAATTAAGATAAGGCTCAAATTTCTGAGGGAAGCATTTGGAGCATTTGCTTTCTTCTAGCTAATTCTCGTTATATAATTTTAGGTATTATGGTATTATTTATGTGTGTATCGGAGGAGAACAAAAAGCCTATACAATAAATACTAGAAAAAGGGAAGAAAATTAAGTGCTGCACAAAATGCAAATATTTGGGTATGCAAATCACAAATGATGGACTGTTGGATAGAGCAATTAAAAAACGAAAGCAACTTGGAAGGAATGTTATCACGGTATTGAATGGGATACTGTGGGACAGAAGCATAAACAACAAGAACAAAACTCTAATACACAATACCATCATAAAGAATATAACCACGTACAGCTGTGAGATGTGGCCAATTAAGGAAACAACAAAACGAATGCTGGAAGCTACAGAGATGGATTTTTGGAGAAGATCAGCAGGCAAATCAAGACTCGAGCGAATAACTAATGAACGCATAAGAGAGATTATGGAAGTTAAACATACGATAGTGGACGACATAAAGAACAGTCAACTCATATGGTACGGGCATGTCCAAAGAATGGCAGAAATAAGAATCCCAAAGCAAATTATAAACTGAAAACCTGCAGGAAGAAGAAAACCGGATAGACCGAGAAGAAGTTGGCAGGAAGGGATTGACACATTTATGGAGGAAAGATCTCTCGGAGACGGTGCATGGAGAGACAGACAGGCATGGAGAGATGGCATCGGAAGACGTAGAACGTTTTAAACCGATTAATTCTTGTTTTTTTGTATTATTTATATTATATTAGATATCGAGTCCTATTTCTGTAATAATTCAAAATTCAAATATTTTTCGAACGTTTACCTTCTTAATACCGTTGAATATTTTACTTTCCATTTTTTGATATTTGTTAAATTGACGTTAGGCATATTACAAGCGTAGGGTTTAAAAAAGCAATAAATTAACCTACTCTCCAAAACTTCAAAAATTTCATTTCAAGGCAAGGTTATTCGTCTTAGGCTTTAGTTAGAGAGTATGTAAAAAAATATTGAAGTAAAATGCACGACTAGAAAAACCAAGCTTCTTTTCTCTAACATGGGGTATATACTCTAAGATTTTGGATATCTCCAAAAAATTCCTATATGGGTATTTTGCCACTGCAAGAAAATCTACAAAATAAAATAGTAATTGTTTGTAAACACTGCTGCGTTAATCCAACGCAGACTAATTGTCAGCAGTTAGGTTTACTGATCAACAAATTTGGTCTTTTTCGTCTACAAAAACCGTTGTCTACGTTGTCAACGGTTTTTGTGAACCGATACGGGGTCATCATCATCATCATCATCACGCAGCCCCCTTTCACATCCATAGTTGAACATAGGCCTCCTCTAAACGTCTCCAGTTCTCGCGGTTTTTTGCTGTTGCAATCCAGTTAGTTGTTATTCGTTTCAGGTCGTCGGTCCATCGGGTGGGAGGTCTGCCTTGGCTACGCTTGTCGGCTCTCCACTCTATAAGTCTTTTGGTCCATCTCCCGTCTGCCATTCTAGCAATGTGTCCAGCCCATCTCCACTTTTGTTTTGTGATTCGCTGGATAATGTCATCCACTCCCGTACGTCGGCGTATTTCTTCATTTCTTACTCGATCTTTTAAAGTCAGGCCAACCATAGATCTCTCCATCCGCCTCTGTGTCACTCTCAATTTTTCTGCGGTTGCTTTTGTTAGAGTGAGTGTCTCTGCGCCATAGGTCTAAACCGGGAGGATACATTGGTTAAATGCCTTTCTTTTCAGGTGTATTGGGATATTTGCTCTAAAGATGTCCCTCATTTTTCCGTAAACCGCCCATCCCAAGGTAATTCGTCTAACCAGTTCACAGGCTTGGTTATCTCTGCTTATTTTGATCTCATGGCTCAAGTATACATATTTGTGGACTAATTCTATTCTGTTGTTGTGAATTTGAATGTGTTCGCTGGGCACTATATTAGTCATTATCTTAGTCTTGTCAAAATTTATTGTTAATCCAATCTCGCATAATGCATTGTTAAGTTCTTGAAGCATGTCTTTGATCTCTCCCAGACTATCTGACACTATAACGATATCATCCGCAAAACGTAGGTGGTTGAGTCTTCTCCATCGAGAACTATTCCTTTTTGTTGCCACGCCAGCATTTTGAATGCATGCTCAAGAACAGTAATAAACAATTATGGCGACATGGTATCGCCCTGCCTAACTCCCCTTTTTATTTTTATCTGGCTAGTTGTGGAATGTAGATTTACAGTTGTTGTAGCATTGTCATATATGTTTTTTATTATGTTACAATATCGATGGTCGATTCTACATTCTTGTAGCGCTGTTAGGATGGCCGGTAATTCTACCGTATCGAACGCTTTTTTAAAATCGACAAATATCAGTCCTAGGGAACGATTGTATTCGATGTTTTTTTCTATTAAGGTTTTTAAACACTGCAGATGATCGTTGGTAAATTCGGAACGGATTTTGCCCCTAGTCTATTTGTTATAATTCGGGTATTTAGTTTATAAAGATGGTTAAGAAGGCTAATTGGTCTGTAATTTTCCAGGTCTGCTATGTCTCCTTTTTTACGGGGTATCTGTTAAAAAAACTAAAGTGTTCTGGAATAGTTGCATTTAAATATTTTAAATACTTTTCGCTTCCGTCGACGGAAAGAGATAAACTTACCAAAACGTTAAGCATTTTTTGTTCATTATGCAAATTTGTTTATCAGTAAACCTAACTGCTGACAATGATTTTCTTGCAGTGGCGAAATACCCACAAAGGAAGTTTTTGGAGAGATGAATCCGCCACAGAGGTCTAGACATTTTTTAATCTTTGATCACCATCATCTTAATAGGTTGAATTCTATACTATAATACATACTTTTCATCTTATGCACAAGATCAGACATCTAAATCACGGACGGCTTTCATACATCGCGAAACATAGTGGGATCCGGCACGCGTCAATCTTTGCACGCGGGCCGATTTCCCCGGGGATCTATTAGATTAGCATTATACGCTCTCCAACTTTTAAACTCGATATGAAATTTTACTTTTTAATGCGATTTTAACGAGTCGGAACACCCGGTATGTTTGACGTAATCTGTTGCGAAAACTTCGTGATAAATCGGTTCAGTTTCGGAGAAGCGATTCTTTCCCGAACATTTTAAATTTTAAAACCTTTAGGTCTGTATAGGTACCTTATAACGGATATTATATATGAGAGATATTTTACTTATAGTGGAAATATAGAAATTTGCTAATGGTTCTATATTTGTATATTATACAGTCATATATCATTATAAGGTTGATTAGAGGTGTGTAGTTCGTGAACGAACTAATTCCAATGAACTATTCCGACCCGGAATGAAGGGAACTAGTTCCCGATTTCTCAAGGAACTAGTTCCTCAGGACCTATTCCGGGATCGAGACTGTGACTGATAATAATATGCGCGGATCGGCCAGCGCGATCGTAGCCCGATGCTAGGCGGAAGAGGAGAGTGCCAGCCGTATGTTACCTATCCCGAACCGAAAGAACTGAGAGAAACTAATTAAAACACTAGTTTACGGGAATCTATTCACTTAGCAGATTCGAGATATATACCAGGCGACAACGATGGATTCGGCCTTGTCTATTGCCACAC